CCAAAAAAAAAAAAAAAAAAAAAAAAAAAAAAAAAAAAAAAAAGAAACACAGGGTATACTAGGTTCATAGGCATATGAAGAAGTGCCAAATGATAAAACTATGCAAAAAATTATATAAATAATCAATCATACCCAGAAAGCCAAAAAGCATAATTGTAAATAAATATTACAATGCTTTTAATAAAAATTAAAAATGAAAAAATTAAGTGCTTGATCCTATAACCAGGCAGAATAGTGAAACTGAGATGAGATCAATATTTAACATATTCAGACTATGTTACCAAATTTTTCAAATTGTGATGACTTAACCCTCCCTTTGATTTTCTGATGGTGTTAGAGTATTCTCAAAAAAAATATGTAAAAAGGGTAAATTTAATAAAAAAGAGAGGGTGTAGCATCCACAGCACAGAATTCAGTATAAGAGTGAGGTCTCTCAGCAGAATCATAGTCAGTGTGTGTGTGTGTGTGTGTGTGTGTATAAAACCCAGAATGAGGTCCTGGTAAGATCGTGGGCATAAACGTTAGACAGACCTGGGTTCCAATTCTGGCACTACTGATTGTGCAACCCAGAGAAAACGATCAACTTCCCCTATCCTCAGTATTCTCATCCATATAGTGCTTATGATAAAGATTACATAGCACAAACATTTAGTTCAGTGCCTGGCTCATAATAGATACTTTATAAATGTGGCACTGATGCCATTACCATCAGAACTTTCAGTGATAAGTCAAGAAGCCTACAAGTGCAAAGCACCACTTTCTTTGGCCCCTCTGTGGTGGGTTTGGGTGGCAGGAGTTTAGGACAGAAGGATGGCTACAAAGGTCAAACTTGAAGGCTTGGTTTTATCTAGGCTCTACAATATTGCTTTTTCAACTATAACAACTGTCTTCAGGAACATGTTATTAAAATAATATCCTAATACCCTTAAGCCTTAAAAATCAATGTAAGGAAGCTTCTGACTTGCAATCTGGTCCCTAGTCACAAGAAACTGTGGAGTGAGCTATGATGAGCAGTTTGTAAAAATGCCATCCTTCTCACTACATAAGAGAATCAGAAATCAGACCAGAGAAGCTGGGGAAGATCATCTCATGAGAAATGAAAATGAATAAGTTCTTAGAGGGCAAATACTGTTTTATTGAAAAGGTGGTAAACCATGATGGTTATAAGATCAGGCTTTGGAGTCAGAACTGCCTGAGTTCAAATCTTGGCTCTACCATGTAAGAACTTTGTGACCCAGCAAGTTACTCATAATTTTTCTTATCTATAAAGTGGATTCAATCATAAATAAGTATACTTTTTGGAGGTGTGACTGGAGAACTAAATATAAAAAAACCTGTGCAGAGCCCTTAGTCCAAGGCCAAACTCAATAAATGGAAGCTTCTATTACAATCAACTTCAACAGTATCAGCAGCAGCAGCATCTTCATTATCATTTCTCCTTGTTTTTCTGTTACTGAACAGAGTGTACGGCATACAGCAGGAGCTCAACAAATGTTGTCAAATACAAATTAAACACAATCCTCCACATTTTAGAACACTGAACAAATCTGAAAGATAAATTTTGGCCACTCCTCATGTTAAAGATAAACTAATTCAAGCAAAGGGAACAGAAGTAGCAGTGAACTTTTCTTGATCTTTCTTTCTTCGGACTTGCCAGAATTATGGAAAAAGTAAGCTCCAGGAACTGTCTTTCATCTTTTTGCTGCTCTTTGGTCTACTGAGTCTCCCCATACAGAACACTAGCTTAACAGGCAGTATTTCTGCTGCAGAAACACAGGTCTAAACTATCTAGCCAGCCTGGGAAGCCAGTTATTCCTGCTTCCCAGCAGTTCTGTACTGAATCAGTGGTGAGATTTGAGGCATGCGCCACTGTTGCTGGCCAAGGTCAAGGGGTAGCCTCCTGAACTTAAAGCTAGTACACTATGATTCCTTACATTCTTCTATGTAAGAAGACAGATTTCGGCAAAGAGATCAAAACACAGGTCCATCGACTTCAAAGTAATCAATGTTCAAAGTAAGTCTGCCCAAGTAGGTACGGGGAACAACTACCCACACTGCTTAATGCATGGGAGAAAATAACTAGCATCACAGGAGGCCACCAAACCTGTGATGGATGCAGGGAGTTGGGAGGGAAGGTGTTGAGCCATCTCATTTTTAAAAGTCACATGTTTCTCTTGATTTCATTCATTTGATCGGCCTTTCAAAGGCAGCTCTTTTAAGTAAAACCATTCCCTAAAGTCATCACCTGTTTCTTTAAAACACAGTCACACAGTGGAGGAAAAAAGATTCCCTCCTCCAAGGTAACTCATGACACCACTTTCTGAGTGAATTCTGAGGTTAATTGTTAATCTTGACTTCTTCTTAGGCGTAACTTAGGTTTTAGTTAAACTACTCTCAACATCTGCTCCTTCCTGTGTTGACTTTTCAGATGAGCTAACAAGGGTTCTGTAGTGAAAGCACATAACTTACCAAACTTCAATGCTAAGAAGGGCACCTGATCTGAAATTGGCTGACCTTTCCAGATGTGATTCCTGAAGTAAGGAATAGCCTCACTTGCTGAAGTAACAAACCACAAGAGTCAATGCTAGACTATTTTATCCTTGTTGTTTTTAAATCCAGGTTCCCCACAATATGTTGGAAACTACACTAACTAAACAATTTCATTTCCCACAGTTTGGGCAAAAGATGACCTAACAAAAATGTTTGCTGAACTGCCTTTTCCACTGATGCTTACACTGACTCTTTGCATTAACTCAAAGTTGCCAGGTAGAAATAGCCACAATTATGGACACTAGTACCTGAATGAGGGTGAGCCAGAACATGAGTACTTAAGGAAGGTCAAAGCAAAAGCAAGCTCATACTCACTGATCCCTTACATCTACCTTTTTCCTTTCTCTGTATTATAATCTGTTCCTGTAGATACTACGGTGCTTTGCATACCAGGGGCAAAAAGAATCATTGTAAAATGAAGAACAAAAGTGCTTTCAGCTTTAACTCCTCTGCAGCCATAGTTGGGTGAGAAAAGAGTTAGGAAGAGGCCTTGCATCTCTTCCTAAAAATAGCAGTTTATACACTGTTTGTTCTCTGTGTCCCTTTGGAACCATGCATGATCATTCAGTTGACAGATTCTCCAAGATTAAAGCCAATTTGCTACAACAAACAAACAAAGAAGAATTTTTAAACACATCTGACTTTTCTGAGTTAGGATTTTATACTGCATTATTGAAAAGGAATAATATAAAAATAAAATTAAAGAAAGAGTGGGTGGTGATGAGTACATACGAACTGATGGGAAGATTTCTATTTATCTCTTACTAGTGGCTTAAGAACTGAGAGACCCTATAAAAGAGACCTGGCAGTTGTGTCGTGTGAATCCACCTTCAGGGGTCCCAGGGGCAAATTCCTTCCTAGGAGAGCCTCCCACAGTGCGAGGTCATAATTACCTACAATGATCTCTACAAGTTGATCTGTCCAGATGAGGTCCCATTGCCTATGTGGTAAAAAGCTGTCATTAGACTTTTCCACCAGCTGATGTGCTGGCGTCTACGGGGCAAGAGAGGAACACAGAGCACTTTGGCAGTGGATTTGATGCTGTGAAACTCACAACAACTCGAACCTCCCCCACAATTCACTCTGCATTGGCCAAACTGACAAAAGATTTCCCTCTGTCCTCACAGAACATAAGATCTGTCCTTTTATAAGGTCCTCTGTATATAACCAGAAATGAACTCCTTGCAATTACTTTTAGTTTTACTTCCCCACATACTACATGAGATACATATTCCTTCATGATTCCAGTCAGAAATTAAACCAGCTAAATGACATTGTAGAAACCAGTGACAAAAGATGAATATTTAAATCTTTTAACTGTTTACAAAGTATTTTGTGCATAATGTATGCAGTGATCTAAATACTCTGAAGGCAGAGCCAGTCCTAGCTATACATTAAGAAATTACAGATCTATTTTCCACAAATTCATCTGATTGGCCATTGACATATAAATGTGTTAATGGGAAAGAAATGGAGAGCTTTTGCCTTTCACTGTATTTCTGTATTCTCTGAATTCTTTCCAAGAATGTACTGCTCTATTACTTGTGTAATTAAATAAGCATTCAAAAAACCTTTTGAAAAATTAAAGTTGTTTAAAGATACACAAAAATTTTTAGAGAAAAATTTGGAAGGATATTGCTAACAGTGGGATTGTTGATAGCTATTAGGTTTATAGGTGATATTCATGCTTTGTACCGTGATGCAAAGCATAAGATACAAATTATCAATAATTGGCTAGTTTTGTTATATAATAAAAAAAGAATAAAATATTTGTGTCACAAAAGAAAACTGGAAGCTTCAATGACAGATATATATTAATCTTTTTAAGTACTATCTCCACTTCTAAATATGCTTTCATATATAGTTTATATTTATCTATTAAACATTCAACCCATCAATCAAACCTATACATTGACTCCTAACTTTCTAAATAATCTGCCATTTTTCTTTTTCAAAAGTTCATTTCTAAAGTTTTCTAGTTATAAATCAGTAGTTTTATTCCATTCTTTCTTTGTGGATATTAGGCCTTCTGATTCAAAGAATACAGAAACACAGTCAGCAATAATTAATAATAAGAGAACAATTACAAAATGATCATTGTGAGTCATTCATGTTATCCAGGAGTCCAATGTGGGGAGGGAGGGCAGGATTTAGGGACAAGTAAATGGGAAGTGATGGGAAGAAAGGATGTAGGGAGACTAGGAGAGTGAAAAATGTCATGGGGAGTGGAGATCAGTTAGCTAGATTGAACTGTATGAAACTGCCATATGCGTAGGTCAAAAAATTTGAATAGTGATAATTTAATATGGTTCAACCAAATAACGCAATAATAAATAATAATAATAATAATAATAAGAGAAGGAGTGAGAAGGAAATCAAGGTAGAAGTTTTTAAAGCCTTCATTCTACCTGACTCCTGCTTCATTCAGTGTGATATGGATGTGATAACAATCTTGCAGATATTTCTTAAGAAATTCTACTGTTCACATATCCAATTATCTGTCAGTGTTCTGAGAAGGAGGAAGAAGTGAGTATTTCACATATTTACCTTCAAGATGGGAGCCATAAAGACTGACAGACCAGTCAGAATAAACACAAGGGTTCCAGTGACTCTTTGTTCCCTGAAACCAAATCAAAAGATTACCAATCTACCTTTTGTTTTCATAAACATGCTCTTGTCTTTTCACCTTCAGAAAATACTATACATCGATGGAATCACTGTTTGGCTAAGACAGCAAAGGTACGGATATCATATGTAATTAATACCTCAAGGACAGCATATAAGCTTAACAGAACTACAAAATTCTCTTAAAACTATTGCAGTATGTGATTTGAATTCATCAAGAAAAAAGTGATTCTGCTAAATCCTTTGTCCTTTTAGAGTCAGGAGAGAAAAATCACTTGCTCTGGTTCCACCAATTACTGGCCTACTTGAAGCCCTTATTTTTTAAACAACTTGTACTGTTTTGTAATTACACCTTCCTTCATAGGAGATAGTTATTACATTGTCCCACATTCTAATTAACAAACAGCTCAGGAAAATTTCCTAAGTGCAGTAAATCCCATCAGTCTCATTTCCAAATCTACAACAACAAAAGTACTTTTTAACAAATACGATTCCCATACAAAACCCCCTCCCCCCAAGAAAAATCACCCACTGTTGTGGTATGGGAAACGATGGCTCTGTCATGTGAGCTATTCACCCAAGCTCTTAGGAGCTGAGTCCGCTGCAAGATACGCAATAAAGTGTAAAGGTCTCATAAGAGCTCTTCATGGCTACCCAGATTTAACTGCTGGAGGTCAAGGTTTCTCAGTGCTTATGGGACAGAAAATGAAGTAGAAAATAAGAATTCCTCTCCTTTCACAGAATCTTTTTTTGGCCACACGGCTTGCGGATCTCAGTTCCCTGACCGAGGGTCGAACCCGGGGCCCTGGCAGTGAAAAGGCCAAGTTGTAACCACTGAACTGCCAGGGAATTCTCTCCTTTCATAGCATCTTGAGAATCATAAGCAGACTCAATAGTTTTAGGGAGTCTCAATAGAGCCAAAAAAATTAAAGGGTCTGGCTGTATATATGATTGTGATTGAGTATGTACCACAGCACTAAAATGACCTGCATGTTGAAGAAAATGAATGACCTGTCTGCGTTTTTACTCTGCAAAATTTAGTCTGCTGTTAATCAAAGGAAATGTATATAAGATAAAAAGTGAACTCAAGAAATTATGGAATACTCTTTCAAATGAAAATTTAGTCCTTTCTAGAACATCAAGTACAGGAATAAATTATTCACCACCAGCCCTTTCTCCTCCACATTTGTCCGTTTCTTTCTGACTGACACACAGATGTGAGCATGGTATGTTTTATAGAGCCATTTTTCTCTGACGTAACACACCTCACTCCTAGGAATTTTGGTTGTTCTCCAGGTGCAGAAGTCTCTGTCTCCATCTTCAAACTGTCGATGTGAGCAATGGAGATGACAGTAGCAGCCACGTACCACGGAAGGGCCATGAAGGAGCACACCACCATGAGGATGGCCACCCAAAAGAGATCCAGGTGATATCCAGCTCCTTTCTGTAGCAAGAGGTAACAAAACCACGTGAAGAAAGCACTCATACTACTATCTAGTCATATTTCCAGATGGGAGTTAAGATTACCCAAAGAAACCAATTCGCTTTGCTTGATACACATATCTACCAGAAGATGAGGTCCTTGAGTGAGACTTCATCTTCCTCATACTATCCCCCTAACAATTAAACGCAAAGCTGCCACATGGCACACCTCCTCTAGCTTGATTTAAGTCACAGCTTATTAGTTGCTTATTGTTAATTATCTTCTCTGCATCCAGTTACATAACTGGAACAACGGAGATATAGAACTACCTTGAAGAGCTACTGACATCCTTCAGTGAAGTAATTGAGGCAAATCACCTTGTAGGAACTTAAATGGCAGTGATAGTTACGGAGTAGAAGCTCAATAAATGGTGACAGTAGCAATAGTAATACTGGTTGTTTTTAACATAAACAGGATAGGTACCTTAAAAACAGGCGTGATGCCTTCTCTGCTTGACTAGCAATATGCTGTTCACCCAGACAGTATTCAGCACATGTAGACTAATGATGTGAAAGCAACCTTAACACTTATATGTGAAATCTAAAAAAATGATACCAATGAACTCATTTAAAAAACAGAAATGGACTCACAGATATAGAAAACAAATTTATGGTTACCAAAGGGCAAAGGGGGGTGGGGAATTAGGAGTTTGGGATAAACATATACATGCTACTACCTATAAAATAGAGAACCAACAAGGGCCTATTGTATAGCACAGGGAACTATATTCAGTATCTTATAATAACCTATAATGGAAAAGAATGTGAAAAAGAATAGATTTATATATATAAATAAAAATACATATACATTATAAAAAACTGAATCACTTTGCTGTACACCTGAAACTAACACAACATTGTAAATCAACTACACTTCAATTAAAAAAATAAAGACAAAAAAGTACATAGAAGACCATTTCTCATCATTAATAGTATATGAAAATAATTGTTTAACAACATATGAAACATTATAATTAAGGTAATTGTACTCCCCTAGTAAGAACAGGCTGATTTCAAACATTGCCAGATAGTCACAATAACATTTACTGACTGGAAGAGCAGACAATGTAACAAAAGGTCTAGCTCTTTTACTCACTAAATAAATATTGTCAAATGTGTCCACAATGTTATTCTCTGGTTATATTTCTCTGTTCTATTTATGAAGAAATCAAATACCTAATACCCCTATGGAGCCTGAGAAAATAGAGCAGTCCATTTTCACAGCATGGAAGCAGCAGCGCCAAGAGGCTGAATACGACCAATCTGAGGAAACAGAGAGGTTGGCTTTAAAAAATGAGAATGGTCTTTACACTAGGAACCCAGTGACTGTTATCATTGAGATCCTGTTACAGTAACTCAGAACACTGCTCTCTTCTCACTGAAATGCCAGGATTTCACCCCTGGCTTGCACACACGGGTCTAATCATGTTCTCAGAGAACTCATCACAGCTGACACAAGAAAGAAAAGCATATTTTTACTTAGTCCAGGTTTGGCTAAGAATGAAAATCTCCTTGAGAGACAAATAGATTGACACATATTCATAAATCCAGTTCACTGCAATACAAATGGTTTGAAAGCATAAGGGTTTGAATTGGGAGTGGGTTAAGGCAGAGGAAAGGGGGCCAAGGTGAGGATGAACTGAAGTAACTTGTTCAGTAGTGACTAATGAGGTGAATATCATGCTACATGTGGGGTCTCAGTCATTCCTTCTTTCAACAAATTCTGACTGCCAACCTAGTAACCAGCACAGGCTTGGATGTTAGTGACATATCTGCAAATAAAACAGACAAAAATTCCTGAGCTCATGGAGTTTACATTCTACTGACAGAGACAACAATAAACAACATAAATAAGTAAACTAGACAGTATCTAAAACAGTAGTAAGCACTAAAGAGAACTATGAGAAGTTGGACTTGTACTCTGAGTACCGTCGGAAGCCACTGTAGGGTTTTAAAGGGAAGAATGAGATGATCTGCTTATGTTCTAAACACCACGGCTGCTGTGTTAGGAACAGACTGAAGAAAACAGTAACCAGTTCGGAGGCTGGTGCCATGACCCATGCAAGAGACTGTCATGGTTAGAACCAGGGTGGTAACAGTGAACATAGCAAGAAGTGGGTGGATTCTGGCTATTCCGTCAGGTGGAGCATACAGGATTTGCTCACTCCTGCCTGTGGATGTGTTGGCCATTCATGATCTGGCCTCTGTTTACATCTGTAGCCTCATCTTTGACCTCTGCCCTACTTGGATCCTGTATCACGGCCACTTTCAACCATATGCAATTCCTTGAATATGTCTTACTCACTAATGCCTTTTGTGTCTTTGCCCATATAGCATCCCTACCTGGAATAACCTCTCTTTTCCTTCTTTCCCTGGGCCAGTCCTACTCATCCTTGAGACTTAAATCAGCCTTCTTTTTTTTTTTTTTTTTCCTGGTAGTTTTTCCTTCCTCAGCCCAGGTGAGACAGGTGAGTTTAGTTAGGTTACATCTCCTCCTTTATGTTCCCCTGTCTATCACTTTACACTTTCCTCTATCACAGCACTCATCACACTGTTTTGAAACTGTAGATGTGTTTATCTGTCTTTGATATCAGACTGTAAGTAACATGAGAAGCTAGACTCTATCCTGAATACCTAAGCAGAGTACATGATGCATAGTCCATGCTCAATTAATTAAAAAGTGAATGACAAATAGCATGTATACATTCTTGAGTGGCAACTATAAATTCTTACTTAGCTACACAAAAAATTAAAACTTATTTGTTAATCGGTAGAAATGTGAACCTTTTGGAGGGGGAAGAGGGGAGGTGAACAACATCTGGAAATACCACATAGTTTCAAGCCTTATTTAGACTAAATTACTCAAGACCATATTAGAGGTACCAACATAGTAATCAATGGGCAGGATCCCCAAATCTTGTCACCAAGGAAACTGTAATAACCTAAGGATGTGCACACTGGCCAGATCAACGGGTCAAAAGAAGACTGACTGCAGCAAAGTCATGCATGTTACCCCGAGCCACCTCCATGCTTTCTTAAACTATTTCAAGTAAAACAAGTTTGAGCTAGATATCCTGGAGACTAGCAAAAAAGGGGCCGCATAATACCAAAGAAGGTGGAATGAGGATTTTAGAAAGTAGAATAGAAAGGTAACCGCAAAACCACCAGAATAAATAAAAGTTCTGGGGCAAAATAATTACAGACACATAATTACTCTGCCTCTTGACATCACTCCCTTCAAAAAGTCTTCCCTTCCCTCAACCACGCTGAGACTACTTGATGCTCTTAAAAGGAAGGGAAAATTATCAACTTGACCTGAAGGTCCTGCCTGATGTGGCTCTGCAGAGCTCCCTCTCCAGACTCAACCCTCCCTCTCTCACTGCAGCCACACTGGATTATTTTGGTCATTCATTCTTGCCAGGTTACTGCCTCTTATAAAGCCTGTTCATATACAGTGATTCCTGTGCCGTCCTGTGTTCCTCTTCCCACCCAGTCTCACGCAGCTAATCCTACTGTTGTGTGAGATCTCAGTGTTAAGTGCCATCACCTTGGACCTCCCAGCATCTTGGGACTAGGTCAATCCCTGTCTTATAGACTCTTAAAGGACCATCACTTGTCTTTCGCGGTACCAGACACATTTGCAATGTCACATTTTGCATGATTATTGGGATGATGTCTGTCTCCCTCAGGGACCAGAAGCTCCATGAGGACAGGAACCATGTGCGTTTTTGTTCACCACTGAAACTCTAGCACATGGCACTGCGCCCACTACTGAGTGGACACTAGATAAATGTTCATTGCATAAATGAATGCATGTTAATTCATCGTTCAATGGCACTCTGCTAGATCCTAGAAATAAAATTATAGCTAATGACACAGTCCTTGCCCTCAGGTTGCTTACAGAGTAGTAGTAGGGCTAGACAAATCAATAGGCATTCTCAGTACCACAGTGTTAAAGGTCTACAGCAGGGGTGAGCACCCAGGAGGGGCACTCAACTCAGCCCAAAGTCAAGGATAGTTTGCATAGGAGGTGGTATCTAAGCTGAGCCCTAAAACGTAAGCCATAACCAGCTGGGAGACAAGATATGGAGATGCAGGGGAATATAACAGGCAAATGAGCTACCATTTTGAGAAAAGTAAATAGAGTTGGTGCTTAGGAGGAGATGGGAAAGGTGGAAAATAAGGCTAAAGAAGTTAAGAACTTTGATGTTTTGTTGAAGGCTTTGGAATTCTTTCTATCATAGAGCGACAGGAAGCTACTGAAGGGTTTTAAGCAGGCAAGTGATGTGATCAGATTTGTGTTTAGAAGGAGGGCTCTGTTGGATCGTAGAAGACGTGTTGGAAGAGGTCAGGACTGGAGGCAGAGATGACAAGCATGACAACACTGCCATAATCCAGGCTTGAGATGATGCAGTTCAAACTAAAGGAACAGTAGTGGGGAAACACAAAGGACAGATGGGAGAGATTTTAAGGGGACTGAGTCCAAAGAGGGAAAAGCAATGAATTTATTTTGCCTAATTTCAATGCTTAAGGCTTACAACGTCTAGTATGGTGTCCTACACATAGTAAACACTGGAGATACGTTTGTTGAACAAAATGATAAAAGCTATGCTCAAAAATCCATGGTGCCCCAACTATTGCCATAAAGACCCAGAATGCAAATGGTTATGTTAGAGAAGTTCCTGCAAAACAAACCTGTATGTACGAACATGAGCCACTTCTAAGGTATCTCTTTTAGCTACAAGTGTCTGAATAACTAGGTTTGAATGGAATGAAAATAATATTCAAATATTTGGCACTTTTTAATGGAAATAATAGTGTACAAAATATAGAAAACAGCATTTTTTCGAAAATGCCATGTGACATCTTTGCTTCTCACCCCTCCTCCCTACTGCCTCTGCCTTCTTCAGATTCTGATCATCTCTCTCCTGGATTACACAGCAGCCGCCTGACCACTCCCTC